ATTTTTACATTAGAATAGCATATGAAAGTATGCAAAAAATAGATAATGTAATAGATGCTATCAAAATTGTTGATAATCCATTTGGTAAAGAAATAAAGTTAGATTCATGAGTAGTTGTATAACAATTAGATAAATTAGACCAGGATTCACACATTTTTTAATGTAAATGGCCAAATAGTAAATAGTTTAGTGTTTGTAGATTATATTGCCTTTTTCACAAATATTGATGAATTCACTCATTCATCTAGGTTACAGTGCCAAATGAATGATGTGGGGAATGAAAAGTTTAACTTACAGACACAAGTGTTCACTTTGCTTTGATCTCACTGAACCAGAGTTTCCTTATCTTGAAAATGGTAGCAATATCTGCATCAGAGCTTGATGTAACAAATAAAGTATGAAAACTTTAGCTGTGTGTTTAGATATAATAGAAATATAACTCTTTACTCTTATATTTTCCACACTTGCTGTAATGCCTGGCATCCAGTAGGTATTCTGCACATTTCATTTCACTGTACTAAATGAAAACTTCTTAACAGAGAAGGGGACTATGACAGATTATCTTTGAAATGATTGTTGGTCTCTTCATGGTTGTGGTTCTTATTTACCAGACGCATGACATAGTGTCCCACAGCTTTAAAATAATATAAATTGTTTGTACTTAATTATATATATTTATTTATTTGCATCATAAAATATATTTTATGACCATGTGTAATTACATATAAAATTTTATTTATAGTTTAAAATATATAAATACAGACTATAGAGAAAGGAATTATAAAAATTACACCAAGGTTCAAAAAAATACAGAAGACACCCTTCTGTTTGGACAAACACTTATGTAATATTTTTAGCTCTCCCTTAGCTTTGTTTGTTGTGTTTGACATTTTTTAATAAATCATGCTACCCTTATGGGATAGAAATGCTCTTAATTACCGAAGATGCTACTTATATTAGTTAATCAACTTGACATTTAATGACTCACAGCTTAAAATTATCTTTCCTATTTTGCCTATCATATTGGGTCTGAAAAATTTACAAAAATGAAGATGACTCCTGAAGTGCTCAAGCACTGTCACCTATTTCAACTGTTAAAAAACAAAATTCAGGGCCTCCCCTGGTGGCGCAGTGGTTGAGTGCTGGGTTGCGAAGCTGCCTGCAGCCTCTGCAGTGCCAGTTCCATCCTCGGCTGCTCCCCGGCCACCAGAGGAGGGTCCCACATGGCGCGAGACCTCTCCTGCCGCCCGCTGCTCCCCTCAGCAGTGTACTTTGGTCCTTCTGCCTGCTCTGCTCCCTGCTCTGGCTCTGGTGAATTCTCTCACCCTCCCGCGCTTCTGACTGTACCCAGTGCTTGTATGAATAAATAAATAAATTAAGAAAATTCACTGCTGTGGGGATCTAATTGACTTTCTTAAATGATTGATTCATTAAATCAGCCTGCATCCCCTCCAGACACAGCAATGGATCATGCAAAAACAGAGAATATTCATGGACAGAAAGAAGGTCAGGCAAGGTTATTAGCAAAATAAAAGATTATTTCAGGTAAAGTCCCCTTCCTTTAAGGGAAGACAGGGAATTCTGGGGCAGATTACCTCAGAGATGCTGGTTAGGAAACTCCTGATAGATTGGCTTAGAATTACACTTTTGGAGAGCCTGAAATTACAGTGAGTATTAAGTTTGGATACCCCCATTACTCTCCCCAAGGAGTCCATTTTGAGCCTGCTTTTTCTATTTTTAACATACCCAGAAAGCAAAGAAAATTTTAATTAATTCTACACAAAGCAAAGCCTTTTTTTATTAAAATGAAGCAATTAACCCACTAATCTGAAGACTAGGTCCCTGACACTCCTAATCATTGTTGGCTATGCAAGATATTAGTGTTTTGTTTTTTTTTTTCATTCTTACATTGCTGAGCAAGTTTATTTAACTTGTAGAATTATGGTGACTATATTACATATCTCCATGTTTGCAGAAAACATACCAAAAAAAGTATGTGGGTTTTTTAAATGTTTATATTTAAAAACTCTCTAATAGTGGCAGTTCATAAAAATATTAAATTGACAAATTATATATGAAAAGTTATTTGGGGCTTTGCTTTAGTGGAAATACAATTTGAGCCTGAGGCTAATAGATTGACCCTGTTATCTGACACCATACTGGGAGAAGCCTGGATATCTATAACAAATCTTCAAAACTCAGTAAGACTTTACTGCTGTCGTTTAATACCCAATGTTAGAATCCAATCAACAGATGCCTACTGGTTAGTAGGTTTTTTCTGTGCTTTTAAAGTGTGGTTATTGTGGGTTCAGAGGTAAATATCTCCTCTATGAGATACCCAAAATGGTGGAACAGGAAAAGCTTCATAAATAATGTTTGTTCTTATCTTGAATAGATGGAAATTGAATGAAATGCTCTCAATTTCATGAGAAGAATTGGGTTCTTTTGCTCTCTTTGAATCGCTAAAAAAATATCTACAACTGGAGTTATTAGTTATGGCTTTTAACTGATGGCTTTGTCATTCATTTTTTTAAATATCAGCCTTAAGTACCCACTCCATCCTACATTCCTTGTTCCCTCTAGCCATTCTACTCATCAGAATTCTAAGTGATCCTTTTATCTTTGGATTAAAAATCTATTTTTTTTTTTTACAGAGTATGAGAGGATAAGTTGGCTCCTGCCAACCTCTCCAGAATGTCTATATTTTTTTTACTTTTGTTGTGTCCTATTCAATATTGAAGGTTCCATATTCTCCCCTTCTGCTGTGCCAGTTCCCATAGGTTTTCTCTGTTGGAAATACCATTACTTCAAAACTAACAGCAATGTTTTATATTTGCACACTTCAACCCTCTCTTCAAATGCCATATTCTGTAATTTTAGTCCTATATTCATTCTTTATTTCATACTTACATATATTTTGGCACAAATCTTTTAATATAAGCACTTATGTGTCTCTCTGCCTCCTGGGTATTAATCTCCTGGGAGGCAGGAGATTGCATTTTTGTTTCCATGGTTCTTAGAGCAGTACTGGTATACAGTAAGTAGTGAATACATATTTTTGAATGAATGATAGATTGGTTTACCAGTTTTAATAAATTGTAATAAATAATGATGAAGACTTTAAAGACTACTATATCACTGAGTTGTGAAAATATAATTGGCACATTTAATTATATTTGCCCAAATGCATGAATTATATTCCTATATATTTATAGAAAGTCACTTTTTATGTTTTTTCATACTTTTTAATTTAATAGTCTAAAAATAAATTATTGTAGGACTGCTGGTGATATATTAGTAACAATTTGAGTGCCTTTTTTTTTTTTTTGTATACATGGAGGCTTATATTACTGAGATACAAAAATGGCAAACATAAAGTCAGTGCAATTGGATTAGCACAGTTCAGTCCAGCCTTCCTCATCCTCTATATTATGTTCTCGTATCATTCATTTTAAGCAACTCCATGATAAAAAAAAAAAATTGCCTTCTACCACTTCTGTATCTTTCATAGAACTTCTTTAATGATGAGTAAGCCTGCCATCCCCACTGAGTAGTGGTGTCTGGTGATTTTTCTAGATTTTATCTTGAAGAAATGGATTTTTTTTTCATTGTTTATTTAAATTCCTTGGTATCAGAACTTAGAAGTTTCAAGTAACATAATGAGAAATAATTCTTTGTGGTGTCTGGTGATTTTTCTAGATTTTATCTTGAAGGAAAGGATTGTTTTTTCATTGTTTATTTAAATTCCTTGGTATCAGAACTTAGAAGTTTCAAGTAACATAATGAGAAATAATTCTTATTAATTAACCTTATTACTCTAATAAATGGTACCAAGTTGGGTTTGTCATAGAAGGACAAAATGAGTAAAAATTTACTCTATTGTCTGTGTGTGTCTATATTTGAGAAAGACTGCATCATGCATTTCGGGTTCACCTACTTCTAAGTAAAAGAGAACACTCAGATGGACTTTAAAGGGATTAAAAATACAGTAAAGCTATTATTCTGTCTTTTTTCCTAATAATTTACTAATTGATAAATTATGGTACCAGGTTTATTTTGGTAACTTTCTGGACCTGTTATATAGTAAATCACTGCATAAATATTGTTACATCTTAATGTCAACAGGAGACCAAAGACACACTCCATGTCAAGTGGTGTTAAGCATGGTTGATGTTGGGTCAGTAAGGTGAGAAGTATGATTAGGTTTTCATTTTCTGTTGTCTCAAAAATATATCCATTACTTATAAATGTGGACCTAAATTATTTGGAAGTTCTAGTTTAGAAGTACTGTAGATATTCATAAAGTAAAGGAGGCATAATTCTTGGCAGGTCTGCTGCATCAAGGACAAGGATATTTTTTTGGCAGTGGGATAATGGATTTAGACTATGTCAATTGCCATGAATGATTACATCATGCAAAGGGTCTTGAAAATACTCTTTATGTTGTTGTTGTCTTAAATTAAATTTCTGTCTTAATGAGAAAGGATAGATTCTCAAAATGAAGTCTTTCAATTTTCTGTTGTTAGCTCTGTTCAGCTGTTTTAATTTTAGTTACTTGGCTCAAAGTATATAGAATTCATTAAAAATAATTTGTCGTGTACATGCGAACCATTAAAGAATAAGACCAAAGGCAAAAAGAAAGCTAATAGTCTTAGAAGTTAAGGACTGTCTTAAGAGCTTGATACATTTTCCAGGGAACAAATTGATCTGAAGTTCTGTCAGTTGAAAGAAGGATATTTTAATTGAAATATCAGCTTGTGGCTATAAATTTTTGATGACTGAGTTGTCAATATTGTTCCCGTATATGAAATTTAAATGGAATTTATGCTTAAAATATGTTTACGCATTTAAGAGGCAATCCTCAATTACTCGAAAATTTTAAGTTATGCCTACTATGAACCAATGATTGTGTGATTCTCAATAATTTTTGTGTACTTTTTGTGTAACTATCCTTAGTCTTTCAATTGATCTTATGTCTTTTGTTTTCCTCCTTCTAACAGCTCCTTCAGGTTGGAAGGAGTATCCTTATTTGGAGGCATGTCAGCTCGATTTTTCACACTTCAGATTCTTCATTATGACTTCTTGAGGCCAAACCTAATTTTGAAGTAACCAGGAAGTAATTTTGAAGGAACTGGTCATGTCAGCAGCAAATCCCTCAATTTTGGAGCACAAGTGATCACTGGTAGGATCTGCATACCATCATCTTCCTCTTGTCTGACAGCCATGAGCAGAGCCCTGGGGGCGAAAGAAGCCACAGCCTTAAATATTTTCACTCAGAATTACCAAGAAGATAAAAATAAATAAATTGATACGCAAAAAGGACTAAAGATGCAAACCAACAAAGAAATCAGACTAAACCAAACCCATTGTATTTCACCCTGGAAATAAATATCCTCAGATGTGAACCCAAGAAGATTTCTATTCAAGCAAGTAAATTATAAATTGATTTATTATTTGGAAAGGTGAAAGTTGAGAGGTAGGAAGTATCTCTAGCCAGAATTACTCACATTTCAAAATCTATATGTAGACAACAAAGAAAACTGAAGAAGCAGAGGAGCATTGCAGCAGCAAATAGCATTTGGAGAGAAGAGAGGGTGTTTGGCACCTCGTGTCCACCCTCATAGCCATAGTGGATTTACAGCATTTGTCATCAATTGCTTGGAATGTTCTACATTCAACCCTTCACCCCATAGTGGTTGAGAGAGGGAGGAGGTCGGTTCTTACTGATTACTTCTCAATGCACTTCTAATATTTGCACTGTCACTTCCATTCAGGGTAATGATATGTGCTGTTATTTGCACAGATGGTCCCATGAGTTTTGAGACCACAAGGGTTTTCTTGCAGGAATCCAAAAAGGAAACATTGAATTCTCCAGACATTGATTCTTTTTCTTCTGTAACATCAGTTATCTAATAAAAAAAAAATGGATTTGTCTGATTAAAAAAAAAGCTACAAAATAATGATGAAAAAACATCAGTGTGGTCAAATGAATGAAAAAGGGATCAAGAGTTTTTTAATGAAGATCATTTTATATCATTAAACAGCCAAGAAGTCAAATACAGCAAACTGTACACTAAACATTTGTGTTGAACATCTATTTGTTCCCTTAATTAAGAAAAATCATTTGTAATTTGTATTTGACATATAACAGTTTTTTATAGCCATTTATCTATGCTTCATGGGAAATGTACCAGGCAAACAAACAGCATTTTCAGTTTATTTTTCTAAATAAATGTGTTGTTTGTATTATTTGTAGTGGCTTATTGGATTTGATTTTCATTACTTGGAAGATAAATTTCCTATGGTTCATTGACAAGCTTTTGTCATTAATTCAGATATAATGGACGATTGAAATTTAGTATATTTTTGTGATATATGATGGCGATTTCTATTTCCTAAACTCTGAAAAAATGATATATTTTTCACCATGATTTTCTTTGAAGAGTAATTTTAATATTATAGTTATACTAACTATAAGAGTTAGTTTTAATGTATAGGGGACATTGCTCAAATTATAACTTGGGTACTGTATCAGCACAGATTTTCCTAAGCTATCTTCCTGGAAAATCTGCTCCAGAAGAAAATGAAAATAAGATTTAAAAAAAAATTAAGCCACTGATCATAACCTAGTCTTCTAAGAGCTTCCATGAGTGCATATAAAAATAACCAATCAGACTGAGGCAAAAATGAAACTCTCAATCTACAAGGGCTTATTGAGAACCTGCAAATTGTTCATCCTTACTTGAGACTCAACAGCCGAGAGTCGGTGTTTATGGTTGTTGCTACCACCTGTAAGTAGTGTGCAACTCAAATGAGTTAATTTTAACAAGAGAATAGGTCATTAAGTTTATTCCCAAACTATCTCTTGAAACCAAATTCTCATTATATCATTCTGCACACTTAAGTTCATTTACTAAGTGCAAACTCTCTTGGTAGAATTTAGTGTATCCTGTAACATAATGAAGAAAATTAGTTTGCCACGCATGATTTGAACCCCCAAAATTAAGATGTCATACATGAAAATAAATCCAGCTAGGAATCAAATTGCCATTTCCTCTGGGATGTTAGGCAACAAAGTATGGATGACTGGACTCTAAAACATTTTTTTTTTTTTTAAAGTCATGCTGATTGCTTCAAGTTGTGAATTATTTGAAATATAGAAAACTCAACTTTATCTCAAACATCTGACAATAAAATCCATCTAGACTAAATACAAAAAAATACAGATTTTCATTTGGTGAATATACTCATCAGTGAACAGTGCTGCATTTACTGTGTTCTATGTAGAGCCCCTAAGAAATTCTTACAAAATCATGAGGCAGGGGATAGGGACAGCAGACCATGAGAACATGTCTGAAATTTTCCTTGAATTTATGTATTTTCTTCAATTTTAATTCTCTTTACTTTCTAAGTTATTTCACTTACAATCACTTTATTTTCTTTCAGCCTCTTCAAATTTTAAATTTACCCTTTGCTATTGTCACAATTCAATGCACCTTTTACAAAATCCAAAAAAATTTTTGTTCCCATTGATAAATATGAATTAAAAGTGTTTTGAATTGAGAATGCCAACATGAGTAACCTGTGTTTCCTGCCATATGTTTTTAGAGTGCTGATATGTTATAATTACATGCAATGCCACTTCTTTCCTTCCTTGTCACAGGGCGCATAATTATCAGGTTTATCAAGTGGGTAAGTGGAGTGTCCTTCTTTCCTGAGTGCCCTGAGTTCTGTAAAGGAAAAATCAAAATCAATAAGCAACTATAAACCAGAGACACTCTAACGTGGGGGGAGCGGGGTGGGAATGAGTGGAGGGATTAAGGCCAAAATAAGGGGGGGGGGATTCTACAGGGAATATAACCAAAATGAAAATGCATACATTGTGCAAAAATGAAAAATGGTGTAAGAATTATATAAAATAAAATAAAATATATTAAAAAAGAAAGGCCCATAGTCTACAGTAACCAAATACCCAGTAACTCTTAACTCAGTATGGGGAGTGAACTTTGATCTGGAGTCTGAAGGAGGACTAGTAGTTAAGTAGAACCAAATCATGTGCTAAGCAATGCAAAGGAGGAAGAAAAGAAGATGTCAGAAGACCTAGAAACAGGGCTACTCAGGGTGAAGCCAAGAAGAGGAAAGAGAAAAGCACAGAGGAAAGTGGTGCCAGAGGAAATATACCTCCCAGGTCCAGACAGAAAACAGAACAGCTATGAGGACTATAACAGCAGTATAGCTAGTCTACCTGGATTGCCATTTAGGTGGGTTTAATTCCTGCAAAGGCTAAGGTCAAACTGCACACACACCAGAAAAAAATGTACTTCTACATCCAAAGGCATGCAGAAAGTTACACACAAAAACTGTGTTACAGTGTATCAGACTGAATGGAAACTGTCCCCCCCCCCAAAAAAAAAAGAGGGTCAAAATGAATTTCAAAGAGAATTACAAAAATGTTAAGAATGGCCATGCAGAAAGTTACACACAAAACAATGGGTTAAAGTGTATCAGATTGAACACAACCTCTGCCCCTCCCCACACACACCAAAAGAGGGTCAAAACGAATTTCAAAGAGGAGAATTTCAAAAATGTTAAGAACGGTCTTGTTTGCATTTTTTAAGTTATAAAAGATATGCTGTTCAATGACAATACAAAAAATGTTTTCACAAGGTAAGTTTGTGAATTCACAATGACATTAGCAACTACTAGTGTAGAGTTAACAATCAACAAGGAAAGGTGTTTGTGAAATTAGTTTTGCTTATTTATAGATGTGAGAAAACCCGAAGTTACACATAAGAGGCTGTTCGGATCTTGCATGACAACTCCCTAACATCTTCAGGGATCCAGGTTTTGTAATTCTCTGCTGTGACATCCTTGTCGTTTTGTTGCAAAACAGTCAGTAGAACTGCAGACATCACATATGTATTCCAGGCAGTGAGATGTGAAGAGAGCTCCTTCTTTTAATGGGAATTAGCTGAAGAACACTTATAGAATATTTTGGTGTACTTATCATTTTTCAAACTGGCCACACCAGAAAAAGGGGTAACAAAGTCTTCTGGCTGGGCACTGTCACATCGAAGAAACTTGGTATTCGAACATAAAAGAGGCTGAGGAGAATGAGTGATGATGTACAAATTTAATTCGGCCACAAGACTTAAAAATAAAAAACAAAAACAGCACCAATTCATCCTGCCATGAGTTATGAAATATTGAAGATTTTAAACACTAAATTATATGCAAACTGAGGGAATAAAATTTCCAACTCATTTGCAAGAGCAAAATAACAGAGTCATATCATGAGAATATTTTTATGGATTCTGCTTCAACTTCCCATGAGCATACACCCATGATTGGTTATGATGTAGAAATTTTCTCCATGTCTCTTCTTGTGAACATCTTATCACTGTGATTATGGTCTAGATGGCACCGTGTAGATGATAAAGGGAATTTCGAGGGACATTTTGACTCCATGGCCTGTCATACTTTGTCATGAGGATGTTCTATTATACAGGTAAATTGAATTTAAAAATAACTCACTTGAGGGCCTCCCCGGTGGCGCAGCAGGTGAGCGCTGGGTTGCGAAGCTGCCCGCTGCTGAAGATCCCCGGCTGCTCCCCAGCCACCAGAGGAGGGTCCCACATGTCGCGCAGATCCTCTGGCTCTGGTGAATTCTCTCACCCTCCCGGGCTTCTGACTGTACCCAGTGCTTGTATAAATAAATAAATAAATCTTTAAAAATAAATAAATAAATAAATAAAGATAACTCACTTGTGTATTGGGGGCGGGGGGAGGACAATTGTAATTGTTTTAGATGTTTTCACTCAACAGGTACTTAAATTTGGGGCATATTTTATGCTGGTTCTTTGAAATCAACCCTCACATTTTTTTGGGGGGTAGAGTTGGGCTTAGCTTAAAGAGAGCACTGGTTCTTCATTGGGTATGGTGACAAAACTGAGGTATTTCAAAGGCTTTGATAGAAGATACCAGGACACATATAATACTGAAAAATAAATATACAAGCAAATAGTTTTATAGGTTTCCATGGAAAATGCAGATTCCCACAATTATGTGGACTTGCCAAACCACTATGAGACTTACTTTGGTCCTGTGCTTGTTACAAATTCATACAATAACAATTAAACAAATTTGAGATATAGAGGTGAAAAACAGTCTATGTTAGAGCAAGCAGTGTGAATCACCAGAGAAAGGGTGGTCCACAAATTTTTTGTTTTAAAAATTTATTTATTTATTTGTACAAGAACCGGGGTACAGGCCAGATTCGTGGGAGGGTGAGAGGATTCACCAGAGACAGAGTGGGCAACAGAACAGGCAGACTGACGAAATACACTGCTGAAGGGAGCAGCGGGTGCGGCAGGAGAGGTCTGTCGCACCATGTGGGACCCTCGCCTGTGGCCGGGGATTGAACCGGCGCTGCATTGGCTGCGGACAGCTTCACAGCGCAGTGCTCTACTGCCTGCTCAACCAGGGGAGGCCCGAGTGGTCCACAATTTTCAAGACATATTGATCACTTTAATCATAAAGTAAAAGCTAATTCATGAATAAATAAAACTAATCCATAAGCAAATAAAGTTAATACATAAATGACTAAGCAAACAGTCTGATCAAATGAACTTTCTACAGTCTGGGAATATAGTTCTGTAAATTCCTTTCAATTTCTCTGGGGAGCACCCAAATATATTTAAAATGTTTATTCTTTATTATCAAATGTGTAGATTGAATTTGCAATTTGCTAATGTGACAGACTTCTGAGTAAGTTCTATGTTTCTGTATTGGTTCCAAATATACAGTAAGCTTTTAATGAAACATGAAAATGAGATTGCAAAAGTGAATAACAATTCCTGCATTAACAACCATTCCTTTGGAAGATTAATAAGAAGGATATATGCAATATTTTACTGTCCTCCAAAGAAATACTCAACACTGAATTAAAATGCTTAGAAATGGAAGGAAAGGAGCTTGGGCGTGGAATGAGGAAGGCATACAAAATCTTTTATTACTTTAAACTTTTCATTTTAAAATATATGTTAGACTCGTTATTAAAAAAAATGCAAGACAAAAGTCCCCATTTAGCACCATTTGCCCACAACCACCTCTTTTCTAGAGGTTATGCGTAGATACAGATGCCTATAGAAAAATACAGTATTGGTGTGTATATGGTTATGAATGTGTGTGTACTTTAAATCAACAGATCATTGCAGGGATATTAATATAGTAATATTAATATTACTAATACTAGTATTAGTACTAACATTAGTACTAATATTACTAATACTAATATTACTAATAATACTATTTATATTACTATATTACTATATTAATATTACTATACTATATTACTATACTATATTACTAATATTACTATACTATATTAATATCACTATACTATATTAATATATTAATATATACATACATAGTTCTACCACCTGAATTTGTTCTTCTCAACAGCACATGTATCCCCTGTGATTTGAAAATTTGGGTTATGGCTCTCTACTTTGTAAAAAAACCTGCATTAGTACCTGTTTTCCCAAACCCAAAGAGCAGCAGCGAGGAGGTTCACTTTTACGACAAGAGCGGAAAAGCGAAAAGCAAGTCTGTTTGCTTTACGGCAGTGACGCAGAGACGCATGACGCAGTGACGCCAGCGCCCGGCGCCACCTGGAGCCGCGTGAGTGGCCTGAGGCCGCCTCCCCAGACCTTCAGGTGGGTGCCTCATCCGTCCTTTGTGCTCTCCGCGAATGTTGTTTTGGTTTTTATATGCTACTTGCTGTTATTTAGTCGGCTGTGTGTTTGGCTGGGGGAAGCTAAAACATTTTTCCATATAAATGAACGGGAACTACCCCCTCGGCCTCCCGCCATCCGCTCACCCACACGACGACAGCTTATATAGGAATCGCTTTTTCCGAGTGAAGAAAGGGGTACATTGTAGAGGCCTGCACCTATTGGTGTATTTCAGGTGAATTCTCAACAGAACTGAATTATTTCTCAGTTATTCAATGTTCAGGTTATCTATTGTTTTTGCCGCCAGCGTTGCAGGCAGTCCTGAGGTAGGTGGCTTCCTGGGCACCTGTGTGTCTCCAAGGTGTAAATTAGGTTCAGGCTGTGTGAATGCTGATGTTATAATATTTAGAAATACTACAGCATTTTAAATTTGGTATTTTGTAGTGGTAGCAGTGGTGGTTGGTGAGTGACTGAGAAATTCTACTGGATTGACACTTGGAGAGTAACGCCCACATTTGGGACATAGTAGACAGTTTTGCTGGAAAAGTGCCATTTCATACAGTAATTATTATTTTTCAAGAGTCCAGAGGTGAGCATTAGATTAGGGAAGATGAAGATAGAAGACAAATAGCTTCCAAAAAGCAAAGCAAGTCACTTAATTGTGCTTACAAAGCATTGGAAACTATTATGGCTGTGTAACGGTACTTACTGTGAGGTTTTATTAATGTTGAAGGTTGTTTGAAAGATGCCATTAAAATTCTTTTTTCTGGAATGAAATCATACTTTTTGTGATAAAACAGAATTTGGGATTTTAGCATAAAATGTAACCTGTGTTCCTCCAAGTGACAATTTCAGGATCACTTTGACCTAGTCACAACATTGCCTCCCTTAGAAATTATTATTTCCAACAGGAGATGTACCTACTAATGAAAAACAAGCAAACATCCCTTAGGTAACCACACTTTTTCTAAATAAAATATGCACACATTTGAATTTAAAATGCCAGAAGTTGTATTGGTACACTTAGAATACTGATGTTCCTTGACATATTGAGGGGATACATAGGTATATTCAAATTACTATGTTATCACGAGCTATTCACAGGTCATGGAGATTGTAAAATCATCTCATTTTTCAAGCAACAATCCATCCAATAGAGCTGGAATGGATTATGCTCAATGAAATAAGTTAGAAGGAAAAATAAAAATATCAGATGATACCACTTTCAGGAGGAATGATACCACTTTTAGGGAAACTGAACAAAGGGGGGAAAAAAAAAAGACAAAATTGGTTGGCAGCTGTAGATCTGAGACTTAAAGCAGGGGAGGGAGAGGAAAAGGGATCAAACCAGGTGGAAGAGCACAAGGGACCATGGTGATGGTCCACAGGTGATGTGGTGGTGGGAGATTTATAGTAACTATATCTGAGGGGAGAAAGCAAATACTGTACAAAAATGAACAATGTCAGAAAATTTTAAAATTCATTAAAAAAATCCATACTATTGCCCCTCCTAACAAAAAAGGGGGTAAAAAGTTCTAAAATTCTCTTTCAATGCAGAATGCCACTTGGGAGGAGGCTTAAATTTAACTTGGAACTTCCTGGAAGTTAGGACAAACTTAAAAAAAAAAAAAAAAAAAAAAAAACGGTAGAGGGCCTCCCCGGTGGCGCAACGGTTGAGCGCTGGGTTGTGAGGCTGCCTGCAGCCTCTGCAGCGCCAGTTCGATCCCCGGCCGCTGGGCGAGGGTCTTACAAGGTGTGCAGACCTCTCCTGCCGCCCGCTGCCCCCCTCAGCAGTGTACTTCGGTCTTTCTGCCTGTTCTGCTCCCTGTTCTGGCTCTGGTGAATCCTCTCACCCTCCCGCCCTTCTGACTGTACCCAGTGCTTGTATAAATAAATAAATAAATAAATAAATCTTAAAAAAAAAAAAAAGGACTTTGTGTGTAACCATGAAAGTACTATACATTTCAGTGAAAGGAGTTTTGTGATTTAGAAAGCTAATGCGGTCCATTTGTTGTTTCTTGATTTCCAAGAACAAAATCTGGAGTCAGTAGAGAACTGAATATGAAAGTTTGTCTACTATATAAGCCCCATTTGTGTTGCATGCTGAGTTCCCAAATGTCCCAGGTTTCTAGATTTGTGTTCACCCTAGGTAACCTCACTATTCCCCGCTGCACATTGTGGGATAGGACAGGGACTCTGTGGTTTATCTCTTCCTCTTGGCTCCAGCTGTTTCACTTGCTTATGTCCACAGAACCCTTGGTTCTGCAGCTCCTGGGCCTGATGCCCTCCCTCCTACCATCTCTGTCAGCTGAACACCACCCACAATCACTACTTGCCAAAGCACAAACTACACAAGACTTGTCTGTACCTAGTGTGTTTTTATGAAACTGGGGGGTAATAGTGGAGGACTAGAGTCAACATTCATTTTAATTTGTACGTTACATAATATCAACCTAAAATTTTACATTTTGTTATCCAAATAACAGCTGTCTCCTCAGCTGACTCCTCTGTAAGATCATTATTCTCCCTGTTGCCTTCACTTGCTGTTATTTTCTTACATAGAGCATGTTATTATTTAGACCTCCCTTTGCAAAATCCTTTGAGATATTTTCTTCAACAAAGATCAATCCATACTAAGCTTCCCACTAAAATTTGGAAATTAAGAATTTTTGTTAATCTAGTGAATTTATGTTGATGCTCATTAGGGTAGTAGTAAAAATTTGCATTTTCCCTGAATCAAAAAAAAAAAAAAAACTCAGAAATTGCAGGACCCAGAGTGATGATTTTGTTGTTGACACTTTGTGTGTGTGTGTGTGTGTGTGTATGTGTTACATCTCCAATTACATCAGTACTCTTCTAAATAGATTATTATGGATGTACTTCTGGAAAGATGATTAACTCTCCATTAACCTTTTATTTATTTATTTTTTTGTACATGTTTGTGTACTTTTATTTCTCTGTCTTATTTGAGAAAAAAAGCGGAATGCAAGAGATCTTTGTTCTATTCAATTCATATTAATGGCTTAAATTTTGATGTTTAATGGGAGCGACAAAGACACACTAACCAAATGTTTGTACATTTTCTATTAATTACATAGGATAGAAATCCTTTGGGGAATATAAGATGTTTGGTTATATGAGAAGTATATTAATTGTATGAGAAATAAATCTGTTAGCATTCCAGGAATCCTTGCTGCCATTTCCATAAAGTTAATTAGTGGATTCCAAAAATATTTAATCAGTGTCTACTTGTCCAGCACACCAACTGGAATAAAATACTGCACAGAAAACAAACAGTGTTTTTGTTCTAATGGAAGTAGGCAGATGATACATAAATATATTTAACAGTGAATTTAGGCTATGTCTGATGTTACGAAATTTGAAGGGAAAAAGTGGTGTAAGGGGACTAGAAATGATAGTGGTGGGGAAAATTAGGATCATTAAAACACTATTTTCTACAGAGCAGTAGATAAGGCTTAAGGTGACATTTTCATGGAGACGCCACGGAATTTGGGGTGTCAGTCTTATGAAATTGTGATAGAAACATTTCAGGAAAAGGAAGAGCACGAATGAAGTCCCTGCATCAGGAACATGCCCAGAGAGACTCAGAAAAACTCACTTAGCTTATAGGGGAGTGAGAGATGGAAGCGAGATGGGAAGCAAGCGAAGGCACAGTAAGGGTGTCATGTTTTTTTGACCCAGTGGTTGTAGGGCTTTGAGTTTTATTCTTGAGTAAAATGAGTAGTTATTAGAGGGATTTAATCTGAGAAGCAGCAAGATCTAAGAAGAAAGATTTTTTTAAAGGATCCTTTTATTTTGTAGATGAGACTCAGTAGACTATGGAATAATCCTGAGGAGATGATAATGGCTTGGACCAAGATGGCCCACAGTGAAGGTAGCAAGAGCTACTTGGTGTTGGGAAGAATGTAAAAGTTTAGTCAACAGCTTTTGCTTTTACAGTGATTGGTTTTAGATTATGAGAGAAGAGGAGGTGTTAATTTCAAGTATTTGGGTTTTTTTGATTCTGAGAAAATACAGAATAAGGAAATTTCTAATTGTTCAGACAGATAAGAGTGAAGTAGAATGAACAGCGAGTTTGAGAAGGGGAATCAGGTTTTGATTTAGTATGTGTTATAGTGAAAATGCAAAATAGATATTCACTTGGGTATAGCAAGAGAAGCAGCTGGAGTTTCAGGTAGTATCTAGGATAGGAATTTAAATTTGTGAATTAACAGCAAGAAAACGATGAGTTAATTCCTGGAACTACACGAAATCATCCAGGGAGGGAGTATAAATAGAGATGTTCAAAGACGGCTAGGTAATACCACAAGAGTAGACTACACTTATGATCTCGATGGCCCATATTCCATCTGGCTGTGAAATAAGGATGCTGGTCTGGGACTATGATGTAATATCAATTTCAAATTACCCTGTCTCTCCAAACTTCAGCCACTTCAAGTCAAATGTTATTTATGAACTGCTCTAGTATGAGTCATGTTATAATCCACATTGTATGAGTTAAAAAAGCAGACATCCCAGTTGCCCATATTGCTATTAAATTTGAAGCAGGGATTATGTTGTTCAATGTAAAAGAAGCAGCAAGATATAATTTATTTTAACAAGCACAGTAGGAAGAAACAAAAATAAAAAACGCCCAATACATCATGGTCAGGCTGATTTTACCCAGGGAATGATGTCCTCTGCAGTGTAGACCTGGACAGTGTTAGGGCTTAAGGGCAATTGGTAAAATGCAAATTGTAGAGCTGGGCTATTAGGCACTGAATTTAGGGTTCCCAAATTAAGGATTATCTGATTGATTTGGATAAAATCTGAAGATGAAATGTGAGTGAAGTGGTTCGCAGTGATGCTTGGAACAGTTGTTGGAATAGTCTTGAAAATTGACTGTTGCTTTGTGCGGCTTCTTCCCATATATGGAACTGTCCCTTCTGAGCTTGTCTTTCTATCCCAGGTAGTCTCCTTTTCTTCTGTGCAAAACTTCTGCGTGTCAGCCCTGTGAGGGCTCTGCTCAGTTCTTTTAGCCATCATCACATCTTCCTTGCACTCTCCCCTGCTCTTGATGAGGTGGAAAGTATTGAGTAACACTGCAGTTCTGGGTACTGCTTAGGACAAACATCAAAGGTAAGAAAGGAAAAACTCAAAATATAAATGTAGAAATTCAAAATATAGAAACTCAAAATATAAGTGTCTATATGCTGAGGGTTCCTTCTAGCACTTAGTAATGATCTTAGGGGAGACTGCCAGGAAATAAGTTTGTTTGCCTTAACTTTATTATCATTATATTATCATTACTAGTAAACAGCAAGGATGTGCTGTGTTGAGTCCTTAGCACTGAGAACATTATGTTCACATGGGACGTGCATTTGGGATTGAGTATGTTTTAAGAACTGGGGCATCATATGATGATCGATAATGGAAGATGTTAATGTATCTCCCTCCTCCTGTTCAGTTCTTTTTAACTCTTGAATTCTTCATATGCTAAGACCTCACTCTGAAAAAAGCTCTATAGATGGGGTCAATTTCATAGCAAAGACAAATAGAAATGTTTGAAGAGTTCATTAATAAAACCAATGCAAAAAGACCTGCACATGATTGAATATGGAGAAGGAATAAGTTAGGGACAAATTGATAATTTTCAATTGTGTGAATAGTCCATAACTGCTATTGAATAGTTGCTTTCCATGAGGACACAGTAAAATTAAATTGGCATAATTAAGCTTTATTAAATAGATTTTTGAAAAAGGGATGTTTTTGGTAGTTGGCACTGTACTAAATCTTGATGTATTGATTTTTCTTCAGGCTTCTATTGATTATTTTTTTATCAGTGTGGTTTCTCCCATCCAGTAGCAGAAGCAATTGTGAACATTTATGTTCTATTTTGGTTTACAGTGATGACATTAATAATAAGCCATTGCAAGGCTTAATTAGTAAACCAGAAGCAATGTATATGTTTTCCTCCCCCCCCCAAAAAAAAAAAATCTCCAAAAGTCAATAGGACAAGTTTTAGAATTTCAATATTGGGAAATAATTTTAGAACTAACTAAATTTGCAAAGTATCAACTTTTAGAAATCATCAATCCAGCACAGTGTTATAGCTGCTTTAATGACTATTGACTAGTCATCAACTTGAATTTCATAGAGAGGAGATTAAGGCCACTGCTAAGTATAGAAACTAATACAAAACCTACCTTTCGTGAAAATGACTAGACACCAAAGCATGCAATTTGCACATCCATCTGGCTGCTGCTTAAAATAATGTTTGCTCAGACTCATCAGCCTGAAATCCCACATGCAGAGTCTGGGCCATGAAAGAAAGAATAGGCTTTTGTCCCAGGGCTTTCCAAATAGTTGACCTATCTAGCTGACCTTGTCACTTCAAGAACTGTCTCACTTTTTCTGCTGAGGCTTCCACTTCTGTACTACTTTCTCAGCCATAGCCACAGGTGCACCTTTGTATTGTAAGGCAATATAAGGAGTGGTGTTGAAAGCAGTGTGCTTGTCAAAAATACACTTAAAGTGCTGTTCCTGAGGTGGAAAGTGTTTCTGTTTTGCCTAATCACTATAATTAACAGGTAAAAGTGGATGTTTTTAATAATTGAATATTTTAAATTGGTAAGAAAGAAATAATTGAATCCATTAAACATGTTTTCATTTTCATCTTTAAATATAAAAGGTGATACACCCAGGTGTTTTGTAAAAGGTCAAGAATTAAAACAGAACAAACATTTTTCATTCTAGGCACTGTTTTGGAAGTTCCCTAGGTGATCTTTTTTTTTTTTTTTAAGATTTATTTTTATTTATTTTTGTACAAGAGCTGGGGTACAGGAGGTCAGAGGCATGAGAGGGTGAGAGGATTCACCAGAGACAGAGCGGGGAGCAGAACAGACAGACGACCAAAATACACTGCTGAGGGGAGCAGCGGGCAAGTCAGGTCTGCCACGCCATGTGGGAATCTCCCTGGCTGGTTGGGAATCAAACCTGCATTGCTGAGGCTGCAGACAGCTTCACAGTGCTGTGCTCAACCCCCTGCACCACTGGAGAGGCCCCCTAGGTGATCTTTTAACATATAAAAGTGTAGATAGAGAGCCTCTCCGGTGGTGTAAGGGGTTAAGACACAACCTATGAAACTATCCACAGCCTCTGCAGCATGAGTTCTATCCCTGGCCAGAGAGCTACCCTCATGGCACAGCTGACCTCTCCTGCCTCACCCGCTGCTCCCCTCAGCAGTGTATTTCAGTCAGTCTGCCTGTTCTGCTCCCCACTCTTTCTCTGGTGAATCCTCTCACCCCTTGCGACTCTGTCCTGTACCCTAGGTCTTGTATGCATAAACAAACAAATCTTTTTATTTATTTTTTATTTTTTCATTTTTTAAAGACTTATTTATTTATTTATACAAGCACTGGGTACAGTCAGAGGCGCGGGAGGGTGAGAGAATTCACCAGAGCCAGAACGGAGAGCAGAACAGGCAGAGTGACAAAATACACTGCCGAGGGGAGCAGCGGGCGGCAGGAGAGGTCTGCGCACCATGTGGGACTCTTGCTGGCAGCCTGGGGTGGAACCGGTGCTGCAGAGGCTGTGGGCAGCTTCACAGCCCAATGCTCAACAGCTGTGCCACCAGGGGAGGCCCTAAACAAATCTTTTTTAAAAAAAGAAATAAAATAAAAATGTAGATAAGATCAGGAAAGAAAGTACTGTGTTCTCCTTTACTGGCATTTAGGTAAATACCTGATCTGTACTGCTGGTCTCCCTGGGACAAAATCGTAGTTTGAGGGCCTCCCCAGTGGTGCAGCAGTTGAGCGCTGGGTTGTGAAGCTGCGCCGCAGCCTCTGCAGTGCCAGTTCGATCCCCAGCACCGGGCGAGGGTCCCACATGGTGTGCAGACCTCTCCTGCCGCCGGCTACTCCCCTCAGCAGTGTACTTCGTCAGTCTGCCTGCTCTGCTCTCTGCTCTGACGCTGGTGAATTCTCTCACCCTCCCACACTTCTGACTATACCCAGTGCTTGTATAAATAAATAAAGAAATCTTAAAAAATTAAAAAAAAAAAAAATCTTAGTTTGAAACTCTTGCCAGTTTGGGGATATTGGAGTTTTAGTTTTGGGTTGTTGGTCTCTTTTCACATGGAGACTTGTTAGCAATGCCTTTGAACCATGTTTGTTTCTGGGTATTTCTCCCAGACTCTTTGTAGCCATTTGGCCTCCTGGACTTCCCTTTTTCTGGGGTGTTTCTCACAGCCAGTGCCCCTTCCTAGAATTTGTCAGTTTACCCTAGATCAGGGATGGATTGCCATGCATCTTATATGTCTTGTTCTAACTGGACTCAGCATGGATATTAGTTTCTTTATCAGGTACTGGGTGTGTTTGGGGGGATATTAGTTTTTATATCAGGTACTGGGTGTGTTTGGGGGGACTTGAGGGGGATGGGGAAGGGGCACTGGAGTATCTTGACTTTTATTCCTGCAGTGATTAGTTTGGTACTTCATCTTAGGTCAACTTGAGGACAATTGTGAGTCTTCTTATGCATGAGAAAGATATATTTCACCCTTTTTTCTTGTCTAATTTGTCTTAGCACTATTTTCAGTGCAAAGGTCTACATTTTGTGTATATTTTTTTCCAAGTGAATTATATCATTTGACATTACAAATGCAATTTTTAAAATTTCATTTTCCAATTATTTCCCAAAATATATGGAAATAGTTTCTTTTATATTGTACTTGGAAACTTTTTAAAGTTACTTTTTAGTTGAGGTAGTTGTTTTACAGGACAGGGAGAGGGGTACCCCAGAACCCTCAAACCTGCCTGCTCTAAATAGGTTCTGCTATCCACTGCATCAAGACAAAACATATAAAACCTTTGATGGAAAGGAACTTTAATACAATTAGTGAACAATAAAAAAAAAAAAAGACAAAATAGTTTTTAAATCAAGCACTCAAAGTTACCCATACCCTTGTGGGTAAAAGTCCACCCAAACAGGATTGGCCCAGAGCAAGGCCCAAAAGCCTGCCTCAATGCTAAAGCACCTTTTGGAGGGGACCCATAGAAAGAGGTCAGTAACAGACAAGTCTGGGAAGAAAAGAGCAAAATCAAAATAAAGAAAAAAGCTGCCATTGTTAACCTCCCCATGAGTCTCTCACCTACATCTGATTCAACCAGTCCAGGACCGAAAGGCAAGGGAGTTTCTTCACATGTCACTCTGCTCCATGTGCCTCCTCCTGCTATCCTTCTGGCTCCCTCCTACTTCCTTCTTACTCTAGTCTCCTCTCCAACTACTTCTCCTCCCTGATCAGCTCCACCCTCCTTTGGGTGGGGCAGGGAACCTGGAACCTCCCCTTTTCCTGGGCACCATTCTATTATAGTTGCTTAGGAAATCAGAAGAATAATCTGTATAGGAAATCCTGTAATTTCCAAATATAGTTTTCTTTTTTCCACTTCTTATTTTCATGCCTTTTATTTATTTTTTATCACTTTATTTTATTGCCTAGAATATTCCATGTTTGTGACATTTATGATGTGTTACTGATCTTTAGGGCAAAAATTTCAGTACCTCACCTTAATATATGGTATTAGCTGTATTTTTAGTTGACTTTTTGAAGATAGAATAAATTCCCTTTTCTTCTTTTATGAATGTGAGTGAAATGGTTTATTTGTGACTGTTTGAATCCACACCACTTTTCTTCTTTATTCTGTTAATATTTTGTATTACATTGGTTGATTTTCGATTGTAAAATCACTCTGCACTCCAGGAAAAAAAATCCAGCTTAGTCATGATATATTTTTGTTTATAATGTTGGATCCAATTTACATCTAAGGCTTTCTTTCAATCTTTGTAATTCTCTCTTACAGAGTTTTTGCCAAATTTTAATATAAAGGTTATGGTAGCCCCACAAATTAAATTGTGAAGTGTTCCCTCCTCAACTATCTTTGAAAGTATTTCTCCTTATAAGTTTGATGCAGTTACATGTGTTTTGTGGACAGATTTTTGAGAATTAATTAGTTTCTATAGCATTTAAGATATTAAATATGTTTTACATCAATTTTGGTAAGTTGTGTTTTCCAAAGAAATTTTTCATTTCTACTGTGTTGTCCAGTTTGTTGTCATGAAGTTGAGCCTAATCTTGTTTTTTT